CAAAACTATCCCGGCATTTTTCTGGTTTGAATACACGGATATACTTTTTTATTCATAATCTTAATTTCTTAAATGTTCGACAATAAAACCAATTTCAACCGTGATTGGGTCCATTTCTGCCTAGTGATCTCAATCGAAAAAACAGCAGCGTATCTGTATGGTGAATTTTTATTATTGACGATGCAAGAGAAACATATCAAGGGGCGGCACAGTCTGGCAACACTCGCCTCCTTATTTCATTGATGGAAAAACATTAAGTACAATTTCGCCTGCTTTCAACTGCAGAATCACTTGATATTTTCAAACAAAAATCCTCACAAAAGACATGCATGTCCCACTTGTATTGGATTAATCTTCTTTCGTCACGCCAACAGATCTGCTTCCCCAAATACAAGCACAAAACTGGTCAAACAAAAGCAAAACAAACAAACAAATAATCCCTATTAATGTTTGAATTTTTTAACAACAGAAAATGACAGAGAATCCACTGGATGTCGAATCAGTAAAGATTTTGGTTTTACCCTAATCACGTCCCAAAAGTTGTACACAGCCTCTGTATCACGGCGCACTGCATTCAGTTTTGTTTTTATCTCCACGTAACCGACGTTACGTTTAATTTTGGCAAGACCGAAACTTCATGTTGTCATTTATATCTAGAGTCTCACTGGCCTTAAATTTTATATCAGCATTCGGGTTACAAAAAGGGACAAGGGAAAAAAGTCACCCAAGTTACTTGGTCAAGAATATGTCTCTTTTTGAACTCAAATAGAACACCACCAAAATTTACCTGCCGTTTCTCAAAACTTAAGAAAATATCAAATGCAAGTATGGACCATTCCGTATTTCCTAGGTGCTGTGCATGAAAACGGCATGATGAAACACCGTCTTTGGAGCTACAATGAACTCCTGCAAAAACAGTTGTGATTGTACACACACAACACAAATTTGGCGTATATCTTTAACTCGTGTACAATTTGTCTAAAACGTACCTTTTCATTCAACCGCCGGCCTTGAGAATCAAAACCTTGACTTAACACTGGCTTGTACACAGACTGACGTATGTGAAATGGCATAAATGATGGCGTGATCTTGTGATTTATAAATAAATTGTAACTTGGATAAAGATGCAAGATGACTTGTCAAAGAAGATATTAGATTTGGACCATCTGAATTTCCAACTTTTTATTTCAATGACAGCTACAATTATATTGTTTTCACGTAAACCCTCAAAATGCACCTTTATGTCTCAATCAACCTTGCTTTCAACTTGTGTTTCACTGTTTTCAAAGGGTGCTCTGATTGATGCCAGTTTTGTTTTCACGGGAACGAAGATTCCCATATTCAAGCGCAACAGCCATGCTTCCCCAGTTAGGGTTGGGGCTAGGGTAAGGATAATAGAGTTGGGGTTACAGATAGGGATAGAGCAGGGTTAGGGTTGGGATTGTGGTTAGGCTAAGGTTTAGTGATATATTGGTTTGTGGTTAGGGTTAGGGGTAGGGTTAGGATAATAGGGTTGGGGTTAGGGTGAGGGTTACAGATAGGATTAGGGGTGGGGTTACGGATAGGGTAAGGTTAGGATTGGGGTTATGGTTAGGGTTAGTGATATATAGGTTTGTGGTTGGGGCTAGGGTAGCGTTAGAGTAAGGGTTAGGGGTAGGGTTAGGATTGGGGTTGTGGTTAGGGTTAGGTTTAGTGATATATAGGTTTGTGGTTAGGGTTAAGTTTAGTGATATATAGGTTTGTGGTTAGGGTTAGGGGTAGGATATTAGGGTTAGGATGGGGCTGTTGGTTATGGTTAGGTTTAGCGATATATAGGTTTGTGGTTAGGGTTAGGGATAGGAGTAGGGTAGGATAAGGGTTAGGATGGTGGTTGTGGTTAGGGTTAGGTTAAGCGATATATAGGTTTGTGGTTAGGGGTAGGGGCAGGATATTAGGGTTGGGGTTACGAATAGGGTTAGGGTTACAGATAGGGTTAGGGGTAGGGTTAGGGATAGGGTAAGGGTTGGGATTGGGGTTGTGGTGGGGGTTAGTGATATATAGGTTTGTGGTTAGGGCTAGGGTTAGGGTTAGAGTAAGGGTTAGGGGTAGGGGTAGGGCGAGGGTTAGGATCAGGGGTGTGGTTAGAGTTAAGTTTAGTGATAAATAGGTTTGTGGTTCGGGTAAGGGCTAGGGTTAGGATAATAGGGTTGGGGTTAGGAATTGGGTTAGGGTTACAGATAGGGGTAGGGTTAGGGTAAGGGTAGGATTGGGGCTGTGGTTAAAGTTAGTAATATATAGGTTTGTGGTTAGGGCTAGGGTTAGGGTTAGAGTAAGGGTTGGGGTTAGGGGTAGGCCTAGGGGTAGGGTTAGGATTGGGGTCATGGATAGGGTTAGGATCAGGGGTGTGGTTTGGGTTAAGTTAGTGATAAATAGGTTTGTGGTTAGGGTTAAGATAAGGGTTAGGATGGGGGTGTTGGTTATGGTTAGGTTAAGCGATATATAGGTTTGTGATTAGGGTTAGCGCCAGGGTTAGGATAATAGGGTTGGGGTTAGGAATAGGGCTATGGTTACAGATAGGGTTAGGGGTAGGGTAAGGGTTGGGATTGGGGTTGTGGTGGGGGTTAGTGATATATAGGTTTGTGCTTAGGGTTAGCGCCAGGGTTAGGATGATAGGGTTGGGGTTAGGAATAGTGTTATGGTTACAGATAGGGTTAATGGTAGGGTAAGGGTTGGGATTGGGGTTGTGATGGGGGTTAGTGATATATAGGTTTGTGGTTAAGGCAAGGGTTATGGTTAGAGTAAGGGTTATGGTTAGGGTGAGGGTTAGGATCAGGGGTGTGGTTAGGGTTAAGTTTAGTGATATATAGGTTTGTGGTTAGGGTAAGGGCTAGGGTTAGGAAAAAAGGGTTGGGGTTAGGGATATTGTTAGGGTTACATATAGGGTTAGGGATAGGGTTAGGGTACGCGTTAGGATTTGGTTGTGGTTAGGGTTAGTGATATATAGGTTTGTGGTTAGGGTAAGAGACAGTGGGGTGAGGGGCATTCTTGGCGTTAGGGTTAGGATAGTGTGAATGTTTGGTGATTGGGTTAGAGAAAGGGACAGTTTTCGCTATATATCCATATCAACATTTGACACAACTGAAAATACGACAACTCAAGCCAACATATTAAAAATGTGTTATAAAAATGACAGGAACAGTGCTCACTTTTCAAGTAAAGAGGCTTGCTTCACAGGGCAAAGTATCTGAATAACTAAACCATGATTCAGATCCGCCACACAATTGAACATTTTAGTCCTATTTATCAGAACTGTTGGTGTTCCCGATCCACTCCAAACCCCTGGAAAAAGGGCCTACACCATACCATTAAGGTTGCATTCCGCGAATTGATTGTATTTCTGCTTGCGAACTCATTGATGTTTTGTGATCCCAGGGAATTTTTACAATAAAACATGCCATTATCAGGAGGGATCACAGAAACATTTTTATAAATCCCGAATTTTGGATTGGTAGTTTCCAGTTCGGGTTATTTCTTTCACAAAAAGCTCGAAACTGCGGGCATATTTGGAAAAACAATGAGAGCTGGGCGAACAGTTTGACTAAAATAAAAACAAATCGTGGGTAAAACCCATAAAATTGAAACGAAAAGTGACCTACTGGCCATAATCTTGAATTTCCGGTGACAAAACCGGAGACAAACCTCCTCCAAGAGTCAACAGGCGGCGCTATTTCGCTCTGATTTTTCACTGCTTTCTATGCGTGCACTGACCTAAAGGAAGCCCATTTGAAGACAAGGTAAATTCGACGTTTGCAGCCCCGGTGCAGGCAACCAAAGTCCTCCGGGCCTCTTAACCCTCCCCCCCCCGTGGCAAATTGAAAAACAAAACCAAAAAAACAAAAAGAGCAGAGTGTTCTTGGGTCATTCAGCTTTCTATTGATTTTCAATTTTAAGTAGGTTGTTTAACCAATAAAATGTCTAACTATCCACCAAAAACAAATTCACCTCCCCCCCAAAAAGTGAAAGTTCCCAAGTCTGTCATCAGCGGCCATTTTTCAAATGACATCCCTCCAGCTTTTCAGTCTCTTGGAACAGTTTTTCAGTAGCATTTTGCTGTGCTTGGCCCTGGAATGGGAGCCCTTGAATGTGGAGAGTTCATTCGTGGCCATTCTTCCACAATCACACAATTTCTTGGGCCACACAATGTCCTCTTTTTCAAATAAACTCTAGGGGTACTTTTTCAGCGCCTCGGTTTGGCGAAGAATTCTCCTTGAATTGGGCAGAGCACCCCTATGGGCGCGTATTTTGGTGTAGTGCAACCTTTTAAGAGTTGAGACGTCTTCGGACGGACGTGCAGTCCGGGGACTTTACCATATTGATGCATGCGCATTAATTTAAATTTATCAAGGAAGAGCTGCCAGTGAGATTTTTGTGTAGGCCAATTGGGCATTTTTGCTACATGATGCACTATTGTAGCGTTTTAATCGCTCAGTCTTTACAGAGCGAAATTCTGTGCGTAAAGAGTTTTGTTATCTACGTAAATATGAACGACCCGAAGCAATTTTCTGAAATTGCCAAATGGTTAAGCTCGTGGTTATCAGATCGTCAGACGGTGGGTTCGAATCCCACCGGTGACTTTTATTTTCCCAAAGTTGCTGTCAGTCGGTAGCTATAAGAGACTCGAATCCTGAATTCTTGGTCAACATCACATAACTTTTACATTTTTCCCTCACCTATTTTTTTTATTTTTTTTTTAATTTCGTGAGCACAAGTTTTTACTTTTCTTCCTTTCTTTATTTTGTCGGGTTTTATCTATTGCCCGATAAAACTGATCATCTGAGGATTATAACAAGAAGTGTCTGTCAGTTATTCTGGAACCGGAGCCTGGATCTCCAATCACTTGAGGCGGTCTAGACCATACTCACCCGCCCCCCTTACATCTTTCTTCATTCAACCATATTTCGGGAGGGTACCACCGGCGAGGCCGCTTCAACACTGTTCTTATCAATTAGAATTTGTGTATCTTATTCAGGTTATAATCAAATCAAATCAATTCATAAACAAATATACCTCGTGATAAGAGTGGGAAAATAGGTCCCATCAGCACTGACTTAAATGTCAGGATTCGGTCACCAAGTTATCCAACAACATAAACTATTACATCAAAGCACTTGAATTAAGTGTACATAAGCCCATATCGACATATGTCAGAATACGGTTAATCTGGTAATATGATATTCACGTAATCAGTAAAATAGCAATAAAAGTTTTGCAGTGGACAAAATTTAACCCTTTGGAACATTTCTTTGGGGTGCTTAGGGGACTGAATTCGAATCCAGTCCGTGTTGGCCGTTTCGTGTTCGGAAACTCGACATGCGTGTAAAATATTCGCAACTAGTAAGTAAGTAAAGTTCCAATTAAATCCAAGACAGAGTTTTATCGTTATAGCAATGCATATTTCATGCCTTTGTGCATGCTAGCCCATGTGCACTGAGCAAAAGTCAAGTGGAAGAAGGTAATATTTTGACCGATATTTCTTTTGTGGGAATTTCGTCGAAATGGTATGTTCAATTTTCTGGAATTTGGCGAAGTGAAAAAAATTCCTACAATTCTTGATGCTAAAAGAAAACGGATTCGGGATGGTGAATCCGCTCCAGCTCTGAAGAGTCTTGTAAACGCTATCAGCCCGAAGCAAATACAATTTACGTCTAAACGATCGCATGAAAACTTAAATCAGTTAAAGTAAGTGGATGAAAACAAATGAGGTTTCTGATGGCAGACTTACTGATTTGGGCCAGCGTAAAATCTTGGGTATTATCTTGATCAAGTGCTTTCTTATAATGCGGGTAAAGCATAAAGCACTTTTTAGAACTTTATTCCATCGTTTCAGCGACACGGTAAAGATGGTGCGAGTAAAAGCAAGCGTGACGTTTACAATTACCCTGATCGACTTACTAATCAGTAGGTTATCTTGTGGCCTTCGTTGTCGTTGACTGGTACTTGCTTTAGCGGCCACCGTAGATGTGTAGGAACCTCACAGTCTTGCGCCAGGAGTCCTCCATGGCTTTAGCGTTTCCGGCAGTTGAGCCCCCGTTCACGATAACCCCTATATTAAGAGAGGTGTTCAAAGAAGTATTAAAAAGAATAGGTTCATTCTGGAATTTCCAGCGACAGGTGGTCGTCGCTGATGAGCACAAAAATAGCATCGCCATTACAGGCCTTTGTATTGTTTTGTCTCAAGTGCAGGTCGGCACAGCTTTGGAATCGAAAAATTTACAAACTGTTACGAAATCTTACAGCAGTACTTAATGATTAAAACGTCGACTAAAGACTTACTGAACACGCTTCCAAGTTAACTCAAGCAAAATGTGCATCTTAACGCGAAAGTTGTTGCCAACCAAGGGTTAATCTGGGTGGTCTGTGTTTGTCAACAAAAGAAAAGTCTCTGCCCTCGTGGAAAGTAACCATTATTAGCCTAAGGGAAAATGGAATTTGTCGCTGGCCCCACGAATAGACCCATGCAAATTTTGGAAAACTCTGGAGATTTTAGTCCATTTATATAGGTCGTAAGTAATAAAGCGTATTATCTGGAGATCTTGAAATGATAGTTTGCTGACGTTTCTCCAATTAATTTTACTTAATCTTCCAATGCAATCTGTAGGTAAAAAGTATTGAATGGAAATGATCGAAAAAAGCAACGATTTGGGGATTTTAAAGTGACATAGGACTATCGGAGAATTAGATATGCTTAAGTTTAATAATCCAACTGTCGGCTATCATTTTTTTTTGTAAGATCAGAAGGTACTAAAAAAATAAAGTTTATCTACGTTATGGTAAGGTTTGTTTCATGTGATGAGTGATGAATTGTAATGGGCTGGTTTAAAAGGAGCAAATTTTAAACTAACCCATCTCACTTTTTTCAGTTTTTTAGAAAACGTTTTTGGATTAAAAAGTAAAAATAGGTCGATAATTTAATTAACGTTTTCCAATGAAATTGCTTATTAAGTTTACCTCGTGGTTTGCGAGACATCCATCTAGCCATATTGTTTTTGTCGCACGATGTGAAGCAGAACGCAGCTTAGCCGGTTTCGAGTGAAATTCCGACGCTTCAGAATGCAGACTTACTAGTTTCACTGTGCATGCCTTCGTGACTATGATACGAATGCCATGGAGTGCCGTCAAGTTTATATTTCACAAAGTACACTATATTCAAAGTTCATTTTCATTATTTTTTTATTTTTTTAAAGTTCGTTGTTATGAGTTACAAATTTTTTGAAGCTTGTTTTCGTGAGAAATAAATCCAAACCTGACATTACATATCTCATGAGAATGAACTTGGAAAAAATATATCTCATAAAAAACAAACTCCGTTAAAATTAATTTATCTCGTAAAAACGGTTTGTTTGTAAATAAACAATGTTTCTAAATATAGATCTCATTAGAACGAACGGGAGAATGTTTGTTTCGAACCAACGAACTTTGGAACAAATCTTGTACAAACGAAGTCGGGAAAAAATGTCTCCTATTAGATCGAAGTATTTTTTTGTCTGTTTAACTTTTCACTTCCTGCGACTGTCATCGAAGGTGTTTGTTGGGGAGCTTCTAAAGGTCAAACACAGGAAAGCATTTATGGAGGGATAAGAGATGGAAATGTAAGCGATGGGTTCTTTAAAATGTACTTTACCGTAGCCTGGAAGGGAGAACACCGAGGCCGATGGAGCATAAGGAACTTCGATCAGGTGACCGGCGTCAGGATAGCTGAGGATTTGATAGTTGGAGCACCCGTGCCTGGACAGTCTGGTTGCCGCTTCCCTTGCGCTGAAGCAGCTGTCATACATGTCATCCGCCTCTCCTGCTATAAACAGAAACTGGCACTGCCTGGCGTTTTCCAGCTGTAAGAGGCAAAATATTAAAACCCATCGCCTCTTTCACTAACCGTGTCGAAGGTTGAGGGAGAATCAAGCTAATCTTGCTATCATTAAAGTCGTTAGACGCACGGTCGGGTTTAGTTCTTTGGTCTTTAACACCCAAGTCGTGAAACACATGCAAGTCGTGTTTTGTCCATTGTTCACGTCGCATGCTACGTAAATTGGATCAAACCTGCAGGCAACTACAGACCCGAATTACGTTTATTGAGCACCTGACCAAAATAAATCTGCGCTCGGATGGACTCCACCTGGGAAGAGGAAGCGGGGCGGCCGAAAACAACCTGGATACGTACAGTGATGGCAGAACTGAAAGAGGTTTGGGGTGAGGTACAACATGCTACTATGAACAGGAACTATTGGAAGCAAATCGTTTACGCCTTGTACCCGACTGGGGGCGAAGAGGATTAAGGTAAGTAACCAAAATGAAAGCGTTCTATTGCGGACAGGCAAACGTTGTACAACGACTTTTCAAATGTCGTATTCAACTTTTTAAAATCACGGCTCATTCAACCGTCGTGGTTTAACTTTTCGAACATTGCAGTTGAATACTCAAGCGTCGCATACTTCGATTTTTAAACATCGCAGCTCAGCTTTCAAACATAGTAGTTCAATTTTCAAACGTCTGACTTCTTTTTTCAAACTGTCCGTGAAGACGTTGGTTTAATCTTTTGAAAAGTTGGAGTACGACGTATAACATTTGCTTTTTCGTTTTAAACATAGAGCTATATAAGACCACCGTGAATAAGAAGGGGAGCACCAACTCCAGTCTCGTTTAAAAAGCCGACTCAACTAAAAAAAAGGAAAGAAATTAACAGGGAAAATCCCTGCATGCATCCAAACAAGCTAATAATTGTCCGAGGAATCGCTGAATTTCACAAGCTGAATGGCGTACCTTGAATATTGCAGCATGTTCACCTGTTACTTTATACATCTCTTTGTGGGGTGCAAATACGACTTTGGCGCCCTCAAACTTCAAAGACGGCTCAATATTTGTGGGGAGCAACCTGCTCAAGATCAAAAATTTATCAACACGGGTTCAGTTGAAGGAGAAATTGCATCTGAACTGAAACAAGGCCTTCTGTTTTCCTCTTTCGTGCTGCTGAAGTGTCATGAGTGAAATGGGTGTTTTGAATCAATCAAATAAGACGACTGGCTTTCCTCCTTGTGCAGAAGCACCCCCTTATTGGTTGAAAAGAGCCATATTGGTCGGGAGCGTTCATTCTAGTAGCGATGTGGCCGTAACGCGTGCATCTAGGTGATGCTTTTAACAGCGCAAGAGTTGCTTACTTCTGCTAGGTTTTGTTCTCTTACTCTGTTTCCAATAAACATCCGTCGAGTATACTGGGTCCAATTTCACTACTTCATGGTGGTGCTTAGCGTATACTTTAAAACTCAAGCGTTTCACTTGTAAACGCAAATTAAATGCAACTCAGTGGCACTTTTTAAACATTTTGACACGTTTATAAATAAACACATATATGTTTATACGTTGAAAACACTAAATGTACTTTATTTCGTAAACGCAACGTATGTTTGTGATTAAACATAGGCCTATGGATGGTGTTTTGAAACACTTTGACACGTTTACAAAGGGTGAAGTGTTTATTGACATAACCGCACATTACAGGGTAATGATGACACACACGTGTTCAAGTCATACGCAGTACGTAAGCCAATTGCTACAACTTAACACGACAACAAAAATGGTTGAAATACTGTTGTCAGACCCTTGTTTTCAGAAAGTTATTACCCGTCCGAGATCCTGAAGTATCTATGCATGTTACATGCACGAACCTAGGTAAGAAACGAGTAATATGAGCAACTCTGATCAGTCCGATTTCTAAACATTTGCAACTAACAACAGTCAGCAGACGCGCGGGGGAAGCAGACGCGCGGAAAGAGATCGAAACGCCTTCAATCGTGGACCTATAACAGTGGGGGACCACGGTTGCCGAAGAGTCCACGGTTGGAAAACGTGTACAAAACATATGGGAGGTCTTCCGAAAAAAGTTGAAGTATGAACAAAAGAGGAACAATAGGGAGTCCACGATTGAAAGCATTTACACACTTGGGTGTGGGTGTACATACGGCACATGCACCTATTCGTGTCTTTAACGCTGTGTCGCACAACTGGATGTATTGTCTAAACACGGTGTTTATTTTTGGAGTGAAAATCAAGTGATAATTCCTCTGCACCTATATATTCTACGTTCTAGCAGCTTCATTTATCCACTTACACCATGAGATTTTGATTTCATCCGCAATTTAGAGCATTGGCGGGGAAAAAATGGAATACAGGCATTTCATGCCCCGATGATAAACACTTTTTACGTTGAACATGTCTGAACACACCGTGTGTTCAAATGTTTGATGTGTGTAGTTTATAAACGCGTCAAAGTTCCTTTCACTTTTCCCTCTTTTTTATGTTTCATTTATTTTTCAGTGGGCAAACGCCCCCTTTGCCTCCCCTCGACGCCCAGGCCTACAGTTGAAGGTTCAGAAACATTCACAGCAGGGCTCCTCCTCAAAATCACAATATTCATGTTCATCTTCTTTCTTCTCAACGTTTTCCAATGGTTATAAAACATTAGTCAGCGCTTGCGTAATACAGGACACCTCCGTCACTGCAAGAAGTTCTTGTCATGTTCCCAATCACACCAATTTGGACACCGCCGCACAAAATCTGAGGCAAGGTTTGTTGAGGTTGTGGAAGGACATCTCAAACCAAACTAAACTGTCGATGGTGCTGACCCCCCTTCCTTGAAAATTGTAAAAGGTAGAGCAAGCTAGGCTGCAACTGCAGACTAGTGTACCTTGTGAGAAAAGGGCGGATGCTCGGTATTAAAAGAAATACATGTATTTGAAAATTAACTAAAAACACAAATACAGAGAAAAGATTTTGACCCCAAATCGTGGTAAAAAGACTGTACTTACTCAACAAACGGCTGATGTTCTCCGTTGAGTGCACAGGGGAATAAAGAATGAGCATGAAGACCACTAATTACGACGACCGCCCGTAACTGCTTCGGGAAAGTTAAAATACACATATATGAAACAGAAAAATGAATAAAGGTGGCCCTCGTTTAATTGTGTCAACAAATTGAAGCTTTTAATGTTCGTGTCTGAAACCTGGCCGTATGTGGTGTTGCTTAGACTTGTACTATATTGTTTTTGTTTTTGTACTTAATCATCATTAAGCTATGAAGAGACAGGTGTCGTGGAAAGGATCGAGGGTTTTTAACAGAAGAGGCAAAGCGTTGATGGATAATTTTAACCCTAAAAGAAATCATGGAGGATGCGGACCGTGTCTCTAGAAAATTCAACAAAATAAATTGCCGAGGCATGTCGTTTGGGGGAACATTTGTAGTTGGAAGAATACACGCCAATTCAATGTCTTTGTTACCGCTCGTTTCAAAATGATACGGGGCAACCCCTTTACATTAGGAATGCGACCCTTGACAACAAATCAAAGTGTCTGAAATATTTCTTCCCCATAATTCTGTAAAACTAAATCGAGGTTTCCCGAATTTGAAACTGACCACCCCCTTGCATTTGTTGTTCCCTGCTTTTTTGTTTGTAAACTTCCTTAATTTAACTGTTGTCGCTGCATGCGTTAAGTTTACCTTTTCAGGAAAATGCGAAGCTGTAGCTAAGGCATACTGGGCCCCACGCGAGGTACCGACCATGCTGACACCGCCAGGTTTGACGAAGGGTTGATCACTCAACCAATCAATGGCCTCCTAGACAATAAAAAGAAACGAAAAACGAGCGAAAGACCCAAATTAACAAAACACCCTGATCAAAAGAAAGAGAGGGCGGGCGGTTTCCTAGAACTTCAACAACAAAAGCGGTTGCAGCTTTGAATGACAACATATCAAGTGAGCTTAGATGGACTATGATAGAAAAATATCACATTAAAATGACTTTTAAATGAAGAAATAAGACCAGTCTTCTTTAATGAGCTAAATAGACTATTTGGGTTTTTGTTTGATATTCTCAGCAGAGATGTGTTGATGGGATCCAAGATTAGAGTGGTCTGAACTACAGCGTTGAAAAACAGCCAGACACCTGGGGCCGAGTGTGGACCTCATCGTTGGCACGGTGTATACAGTCGAAGGCTTTTTACACTAAGTACGGCTTAAAAATTAAACTAATATACAAGAGCCTCTTTTGTGATCCCTAGCTCCTTTCTATACACTCACCTTGAAGTATTCCAAATGTATGACCTCATTTGTTAAGGGTAGATCTTCATATGAAGAGTGCGGTAGGGCGAAGCAGGCCAGTCCGTGTGAAGCGAGCATAGCCGCACGGAACTCCACCAAACCTCCGATTCCGAACATGTCGATCACACCTGGAAACGGTCCCGATCCTGAACAAAGAAAATCGATTCTGATCGGTATTTTCAAAACTTATTTGGTATTTTGTTATTTGAATTCTTGTTATTAGAATTCTAGCAACAGTGATTAGATACGCTTTTGTGGCTCCTGACCTATCGCACTTGCATTGTGTATGTTTAAAATATGAATATGACTAGTTGATTTTTACTTACATCGTTGGGACGTACGAAGTTAATTTTTCGCTGAAAATGCCTGCTCCAACTTTGTTATTATATTTTTTGTCGCTACATGTGATTACATAAATTAAATTACTTATTTGCTTTTTGTCATTGTTGCGGTTAAATATCTTGATAGTAATAAGACTTCTGGCAGTGCAGGATCGCACCACTTAAAAAAAACCGGCTGTGGTCTTGTTTCCGGAACGATGGCTCTGAAAATACTGCGTTGTAACATTAGGAAATGCACAGGTCTAAAGCCATAACTGCCGGTCATTTACCGCCCTGCAGTCTTTCCCACCAAACAGGGCGCTGGTAGGATATAATGTACATGTATGTTATAAAAAGGAGGCAAAACGCTGTGGCTGGCTTCATGTGCCGATTATGCACTTCATTTATCTGCAAAGTTGTCCTGCGACACGAATTGAAAATATGTCACCGTTAAAGAAACAAACAAACTAAAACGGGCCTGAACACAGCGAATAGAAACTGATTAGACCAGAAAATCACCTTTTGGTTTGAATAAGGCCCCCCTAAGGCGCCCGCTGTGGACCCTGGTTCTCTCCACGTTCTTGCCCATGTACCACCTCTCGGCAGTCGCAGTAGCCTCTGATTCAGCCGTTTGTAATGCTTTGTTGTCCAGATGTCCATTGTGCAAGGAAAGATTCACCTTCACTGAATTCGTGACATCTTTAACGAAGAAACGAGTGCCGAGTTTCTGATCCGGAGTAGGCTGCATGCTCCAGAACAGTCCCATGGATTCAGCCCCTAAACGGAAATAAGTATTTTTGTACTCCAAAACTAGTCTGAAATAAAACTGTGCAGTGGAAAACGGTGTATGCCTTTCCTAATGCATACATTCTTTTGTCTAGGACAGAGAGTAGAGACATCTTTGACTATTGTTCAACATTATTTATAAACCAATCGTATCATCTTTCTTTTACAGGTGGAAACTTGTCAACCACTCAGAAGATCGGTGTTTTTCAGGACACCTTATTTTCAGAAATAAGTGAACGGCTACGACCTAGGAAAGGGTCTGGTGCAATTTGATTTATACTAAAATGCACATATCTTATCCTATTTTTAATCTTCACAAGCAGTGTTGTGGTCGAGTCCGTCACAAGTCTGTCAGTTACAGGTTCTATTACAAGGGACAATTTTGAACACAATTCATTTGATTAGCGTATGGTTTTGGGCTGAAGACTTGTGAAGGCATCATAATGAATTGGCGGGGGAGTGCTTGCGAACTTGACGAGACTACAGTGTACTGTTGGGAGGAAAAGTGACAGGAGAAAGTACATGTCTACAGCAAATAATCAATAAAATGGTTGCCATACCAATGTACGTTCCGCCTAAGGACATCTGCTGGGGGACAGAAACAACTCCTCCATCGTCAGCTATGTAATGACCGTGGCCCTCAAACTTCACCTTTCTATGACGGGTTTCCATCTGAGAGACAGATCTGGTCGAACGCAAACAGACAGTATAATGCTCTTCCACAGAATGTTATGGAAAGAGCCAACATGTTCTGCGATTTTGAGATTTTTTTCATTTTACAATGTGTGTTAGACGGAAAATTCCTATTACTCTTCGTCATTCGAATATGATTCAAAGGAAAACAAAGTGTGTTTTTTTCTTTTCCAACACTGTAAAAAAGGAGTGGCCTCTCCAGATAATTTTAATATAATTTTTTCCTGCAGGCTATAGGCACTCTTCTCCAGTAGGGCTTTGCATAGACTGTATTATGATGTCATCATATCCTAGAATTGTACGGGGGCATCCACAGCCAAGGACACACATCTTGAGGATGTAGTACATATACTATGGATACATTTTTGGTAAACACGGGGACATAAATGAACACGAACAAGAAGCCCATACATTTCAACCGACAAACGACTGCGGCGAGGGACCGTATCCATTACAACGGCCCACGTTGCGCCATGCGCCCAAAGTGTCTCAGATTTATTTGTGGATAAAGTGATCCCTATTCAATGTCTTTTTTAGTGTTCTTCAGTATAAATCAGATGGAAACCTTCCTAGGAAGACTTCTCAATGTGTTTTGCGGCGGAAGTGTCCTTTTGGGGGGCGTGGTGTGTATTGGGGGGATCCCGTGGAGCCGACAACGTCTTTTTTATACTAATGCAGAATGTGCATTAATTGTCTCAGATTGGTTTGACGATCACTATTCAATGTTTTTTTCTGTTTCTTTCCAAATAAATCAGACGGAGACCTTCCTAGAAAGACTTCTCAGTGTGGCGGAAGTGTCCTTTTTGGGGCGTTGTCTGCAGTGAATTCAACAATACAGAAATACATCAGCGATACCAAAAATACACGGGAAATTCCCGCTATACATCCTTGAATCACCACGACTCACTCATCCAGGGCCTTCGTAGCACAACGGGTGGGCCTAGGCAGTGTAAATGATGCCACGTGGCCAGCCTCTCCAGACCCAGGCTAGGCCCAGTCAATCACAAGGGCTCACCCAGGACTCCAGGTCAACACTATACGTTTACAGTGCTTGCGCCAACCACAAGCTTCCAGACACTTTGGCAAGCATCCCAGACATTGGCCTGATGCATTTTCCAAAGGGGGAGGGGTATTTTAGAGGGGAGTGGGTATTGCGTGTATTATCATAATAGCAGTGTTTTGTGCACAAACATATGGGAATGGATATGGACCCCCCGTTTCAGTCACTGCCAGGGCGATACCAAGATTGATACCCTTTTTCAATAGTTTGGTGGGGAAAAGTTTGGAAAAGTCACGGGAGTTCGATCAGGTCGTGATTTCTGTGTCAATCTGGGCACACGCTCCCACGTGGCAGGGTTTTAAAGGGCCCATGAGAAGTGGTTTTTATCAGGTTTAATCGAAAATAGTTCGTTTCTAACCGATATCCAGAATGTAAAAGTTGCTATTTTGATCAATAAATGGACGAAGACAATTTATTATAGCCCCATTCTCGAGAGGTATCTCATTAACATAGAAAAATTCCATATCATCTATATGGGACAAGCCTGCATAACTTTCTAACCAAAACAAATTTAGGCGAATTTGGAGATCGGAAGTCGGGCTGACCAAGGCCCAATGGTCAGAACCAACAACAACAAGCTCCAAAATGTGCAGTGAGCAATTCGAGCCAAAGTGTTTTCTTCCGAACATGTACGACTCGTTTGGGATTAGATAAAACGACTGAGGCCAGGCGCCACGCCCAAGGTCCGTGGGAAATCAAAGAAAGTCCGTGAACAAAGACAAAGAGGAGCTTTCATAAAACACAAACGACAAAAGATAAACTATTCCACTCAATGTACTTGTGTGCGTGACTATCATTCTGCTGCTATCATCTCAAATGCACGTTACACTTACGAAAACCTATTAAGAATTGGCCCTGGGTGGTATAGATCAATTCCATTGACATCATTTTTGTTACGACTGCATTGGAAAAGTGTCCTGAGAAATTAGAAGCGTTTTATATGCGGGTGCTAAATTTATGCTTTTTTTTTCGCAACTGCATGGTGGGGATAAAGATGGCAAGAATGAAGGATTAGCGGGGGACTGCAATAAATGGAAAGTCCAGATGTTGACTACATCTGACTTTATAATGTAATTGAAATCTAAGTGTGATTATTACGGCTCGTTAGGTATTGGCAAAAATGGATGTTGGCGAAACGTTCTTCTCAATTTAAAGTCAACTCTGACTTTTCAAATCTGTTTTAAGAAGCAATGGCCCTTTCCCTGTTTGGGACTTTATTTTGGTTCGGTGCACACAAAAAGGACAAAATTAGATCGAATTATTCACTGCTCCTCTGTAATTTTATCGTTTATTTAGAATCTTTTCAGTAGTTGAGGTGTCTGTCTGGCACTGTTGACCTTTTACCTTTTCTAAAGAAATATGAAAAAGTCAGGTATGATTTATGAATATGAATGAAAGCAAGGGTAAAAATTCTGACACAGTTTGATCTTTTGTATGGATTAAAGTGAATAGGAATGAGGTGAATTAAGCTATTCAGTTTACGTCTAACGTGCATAAAAAAGGACTTCGGCTTGCACAGCTTATACACCACTATTAAAAAGTACATTGCGAAACCACCGAAATTACAACCATTTATTACAGTGTATTGAGGGCTCTTTCTTCGTGCGTGGGTTCGGTACTTAAACTAGTCTCCTCCAGCTCTGCGCTCTTCAGCGACGATCCATTTTGTCGCGGGCGCCTTGATCAAAGGCTACTTCGGCAGTAAAATATGGTGACTGTACAAAAAGGCCTAGTGCAGTAATTTTAACACTGTAAATTGTGTCGTACTAGATTTATTTGATAGAAACAATCTCAGAATCTCAGAACGTTGACTGGATATTGTCACTAACCATTGTTATCCTAATAAGCAAATAAAAATAAAAGTGTTATAGACCATGGTTAAGTTCCACCCGGTTAGTGGGTGTGACGTCACTTCAGTTTAAACCATGTGCACCGTGACGCCCACTGCACATGCATTGCACATATCCAAATCTGTTGTCTAGAGCTAGGTCTAGGTCTTCGCTCCAAATGCTCTGGAAGCCCGTTTCGGACACGGCCTATGCATTGATTGCTGTTTACATGAAACCGGAAGTTAACGCACAACTTCAGTAATCGTCCAACGAGAGCCTGCAAATCGTGGCGCGTCCGCCTTTGTGACGAAGTCAACAGGAGCACGCGCGCTGAATATGTTACCATAACATTTCGGGCGCGCGATATGACTTGGACGCGGCGGCCGCCATTTTGCTCTTTCAAAGTTAAACTGCCTCAAAACAACTCAATGTGATCCTGTTACATCTTGTAGCTTACTGAACTGTTCAAGTTTACTCCATTTCATTGTGCCATGACTAGGCCATCTAACTGCCTTGAAATTATTTAGAAGGTTCCTCACCTCCTGGATGACGAGCAATGGATAAAAGAATGCACAACAGTGCTAGGAGCAGCAGGTTCTCAGTGTACAGGGCTGCAAACTTCTGGTTTTTTTTCCTGAAACTCACCCTTGAAGCCTGAGGGCCTTGATGTACTCATTCAATCACAAGTACATGGACAGGTTATAAAGATTAAGGACTGACACTGGTATGGACAGTTGTTACTAGCCCAGCTTGTAATGAGGCAGTGAAGCAATTAAGTAGGCTACTCGAAGTTTCCAATGGCCCCACAAGCCCACAAGCATCACAATTATTAATTATTATTATTATATTGATGTTGTTGACAAAGATGAGTGAACAAACTAGACCGGTGTTAAGGGTACTGATATCGGCACTGTGACAAGTTTGCATATAGCAACGAAAGTTGCGTTTTTGAACATGAACGTCCTTCTGTTCAATGGAGAATAATCACAGGGAAGGTGGTCGTGTCTTCAAAACCAAAATCCCTGGCTGACCTAGTTTTCAGCCATTTCCTTTACGTTTTGTACGTGTTCAAAGGATGTTAAGCATTGAGTCTCTTCGTGAAAACGCTAAAAGCTGTTTACAAGATATTTGCCCTGGGAAACATTAATGTAACTATGACAGTAATGATGCTTTGTTTGTAGGAGCATGCCAAAATTGTCAAGCACGATATTGTAAAAGAGAATATTGAAAAAAAAGTTACAATCGACAAAACAGTCATTTTTTGGTTATTAGCGTCACTTTGTGAGAACGGTGACGACTATTTCTCGCCACGAAAAAGTGTGTTTTGGGGGATGGTCCAAAAGTCCTTCCCCGGTCAGAAACTGGAGTGATATATACCTCCCCTACCCTGGATTTACACCCATGTTAAGTGTTTGCTCCATAACAGGTGAAGTCGTTCCTAAGTAAGAAAGGTGTCTCCAAAACGGAAATGAAAAGAATAAGTATTTTAAACATGTCCTTGAAACACAAAAAAGTCACTTTATGGAATCAGCGAGAAAAATTATTTTGAAAAATGCGGCACCATGAATTCAAGATTTCAGATAAAGCTTTCATTAATAAGAACCTATAAGTTTGTACTAAAATCTCCAGACTTCGTCGGACCATCGATGAATGAATGTAATTGTGTATAGCAAATGTTGATCCTTTAAACAAAAAGTATTCCGAAAGGGGCCAGCATTTAATAAAAGAAGTCATTTTCACCAGTAAACAAACTGCACTCTTGGGAAGACTTTGGGACGTGTGACCTTCTCAAGAAGATGGTAAATTTTCATTTTTCCTTTTCTAACTGACCATCTATGAAATATTCCTAGGGCGTTGTCGGGATTTTTCCGGGAGCAAGCCACAGTTTTCCCGGGGGGAGTGTAAAATGGGGGGGGGGGAAACTCTCACCACCAACACACTGATAAACAGTTTGGAAGGGATTGTTTTGAGATTTTTCAAGCAAACTGGTGATTTTCGTCTCTTTTCCTTTTTAACCCTTCTTTCTCTTTATTTATTCCTTTGTTTATTTCTCGTTTTTCTCGTCCCCCACCCCCTTTGCGACGCCCATGAGGTAGTACATAAAAAACAACGCTACCTTGAAGTAGCGTGCTGCGGTGAACAAACGGATGATACGGAGACTACAAGCTTACAAGGAGGAGGAGAGGTCGAAAAAGTACAATAACAATTTGAAAATGAAATAACAAAAAAAAACTCCGAGCTTTGTGCAAGTAATCACACGGCACAAGTGAGTGGCCGGATCGCTTGCTGGTTTAATAAACCAAACCTGCTCTTCTAAATGTACAAATGAGGGAACTTACAGTTCCACAACTCGTTATTTACAAAATATCGCCTCAAAATGTCCCAAGTACGAATGAGCATGTATAGAAGTGGCTGTACTTGTAAAAGAAACACAGCACCTCATGTCTCGCCAATCTAACCTTCTAATACTTATTCATCATGGATTCTCGAAAGTAAAGGTAGAAGAGAGCGAAAAACTCGCTCTCAAAAATAGTGAGTCCATCCCCAAAAGAGTGAAAGCCACTCGAAAAGAGGAGTCATTATAAAGGACAACCCTTTTTCGATTTTGCTTTTTATGGCTCTTTGGCAGAGTGAAAATTTCATTCTTTTGGAGTGGTTTTCACTCATTTGGAGAGGTTTTTTTTCATGACTGACTCACTCTTATTGAAATTGAATTTTTCCTCCTGTGCCTTAAAATAGTGTGCATGGAGTATTTGGCCCTCACCTGATAGTCACAGGACCGTTAGCCTTCAATCCGGTCGCTTGGATTGCCACTTGAGTGTCAATCAAGGCTGCAGAAGGAGTGACTGTCAAACGGGCCAACTGACTAAGTCTTGACATCATCTTTAAAAGATTATTTCACATGGGACAGAGGGACTCAAAGTGTGCCAAGCTTGTACCATATCACAGATTGCCAGTAGTCGTGCTCTCGGCGTGATCGTACCAAATGCTGGCTCAGGCGCGAGTCGTTCGGCTTTTTATAGGCCCAATGCAACTCTACAAAAGGGCAATAGACCCAGTGGGTCTTTTCCACTAATGAATTTATAATTATGCATGCATGTGCATAAGTGGACATGGCTCACTGAAAATATACTGGGTTTCAAGCTTCCATTTTCGTTTTTCAGAAGCAGATATTTCGTTATTCATGGGCAAAGCAGTCAGTATACCAGGGTTCGTTCCTTTATGTAATTTCATGCGATAATAATATTGTGACGTGCAGAAGGCGCTAGTCATTAGGGGTGGTGCGAAGTAAGTATAGATTGCGCTCTTGCCCAGTAACAAGGGCAGCTGTTGGGCGGGCATAGTGTTAAAGAGCAGCTGTAAGGAAAATATGTTTTTTTTTTCTGATTTTATCTATTCAAATAAATATCGAAGCATCCAAATTGAGCTTAACTATAACAATCTAAAAAGAGTTTTTTTCTATTCTTGCCAAGGTGCGAATTCTGAATGTAGATTGCGTCATTCAGAGAAAACGAGGGAACCCTCGCCCTGTGTTCGTAGTGGCCAATCCTTTTACATGCCAAATAATGGCTACAGACAATGGCTACATTGAGTTTGCGTTCGATTTGGATGCTTCCATAACTATTTAAACAAATACAATCCCAGAAAACATGTTTTCTTTAGAGGTGCTCTTTACGCGAGCGCGGCACACAGGTTCTGCCTTGCGCATGAGGCGATTGGGTAGCGGAAGTCACGTCACGTCACTGCTTGGTCACATGTAGCGCGTGCGCGCAGGCGGAATTGCAGCAGCGGCAGGCTCGCGAGGATATGAGGGGCGCACAAGCAATGTTAATTTAGTTGTCAGCGTCCTGAGTCTTGCTCAAGGGCTGATCCTAAGGTAGGATTACTTAGCCCAGCGTGACTGTGCCTTTTAAAGTCCCGAGTGGTGCGCGTGTGGTTGAGGAGCTCGGTAGGTTGAGGGGCCAATTGCTGGCGCGGTATAGTTCCTGATAGGTGCTTGCAGTCGATATAAGGGCGAATTGTTATCTCGTGACGTGAGTTGTGAGTAGCACAGCCCTGACAATATCCCGGGAGACTTGCTAAAGTCCCTGATTTGGCTCTGGATTCCCACAGTAAACTGTAGTGTTCACTGCTGTGGGCGAAGTCCGGGCACATATAGTCATACAGTCTCCCTGTCAATAGCGCCCTCTACTGGTGTATTGGCTGAAAGGAGCGTTGATGAATAAACCAGCCTATTTATTGTAAGACAGGTGTCCATACGAAGTTTATTTCAGATCATTTCTGTCCGGGTTGCGTCACTAAGCTTTTAGGCCAATCACATTAGGGGCCGTCACAACTGCCCTCCCTCTAAAGATTCAACAAAATTGGTTAATCATATTTAAGAGACTCTGGTACTCCTCCATTGTCTACCAGAAAGGTTTTCGCAATATATCGGGCCTCGAACTACGTAAACAGGATGGTGGCCAGTCAGACTGCACAAGCAAGCCCGAGTATTCCTCCCACATCTCCCCGCAAAAATGTGAAAACTATGCCCGAAATAATGCTTTTGACCAAAAGTTAGCAAAATGGGATTAGCGTCCTCTTGTGGAGACCTTGGGGGCAGTCTGACGAGGTAGCAACAGGCTGATTTGGATTCAGCACCTTCATATTCACCTAGTCATGATTCCATGTTGCCACTCAAAAGTGAGAATTAACGGACCTCTAGTTGCAGAGAAGCTCCGATTTCTGGCTCATGGTCTAATTGATATTGTTCAAAACATAATCCCATCACCCTGTCACGGTATGAGCGGGAATTGACGAACACAATTCATTACACATGTACCTCAAGTCAGCCTGCCTCGTTTGATTTGGCCAAATCCCGCCACGTCACCTGTTTCACACAGGTGCTTAAAACTCGTTGTAAGCAAACTGGTAGGCAAATTGGCTTCTTCTTCTATCATATTTCCGAAAGCTAAGACTGTGTCCATATTAAGTTATACACATTTCTGTGTTAACAGGCACTTCCCAAAGAGTCCCTTATAATGTCAAGCCGCAGCCAGCTAATTGATACACAGCCTAATTTACAATAGCCTAGATGAGTGATAATTCAAAATTTAAATTCAAACTCAATTAAAATGAAAAATCCATCTGATTTGAAGGGCTATAAAGATTATTTATTCACTAGGGAAAAATGTGTTAAAAGGTACGACAATGTAATAAACTGGTTGAAAACGATACAAGTGTGTTTAAATCAAATTGATGCCAATCATGAACCCGAGGCCAATCATGAATCTCCCCTTAGGCTCTGTTAACATGATTGGTGGCTTTTTAGAAACTTCTGCCTCCAATTTTCAGCACCTTCTGTGCTACCATACCTACCTTGAAGTATTCCCACGCTGACAGAGTTATTCTCCGTGGTGTATGAATAGTATGTTGCCACTACACCTGAACGCGAGTGCACTGTCATTGTATACCACGCAAATTAGTCCTACTTTTCTCTGCACGTTCAACGTCTCGTACTAGTTCCTTCATTTTGGGATAAATTTCGCAATTATTTTGACTGGCTAAGAGTAGATTTTATGTTTATGCATCTCAGAGATTAATATATAGTATTGTGTATTTTCAGAAGTCCTCGTTTCAATGCACATGAGCCGCAACTATGTCAGTTTACATGTATCTTCATGCATGCTTCCTGCATGCCTGTTGTGCTTTTTCCCCGTTACGTCATCAACCCAACTGCTCAAACACAAAATTTGACCTCGCGTTTTTCCGAAATCAGCCCAGTTAGCTGTAGACAGAAATTGCCTCTTATTTATTTCGCTTGTGTTGAATGTCAGCAGATAAATTCATTGTATACTGGTTTCTAGTCGGCCAATCTGCCTCCAAAACCCTTTATGTCGCAATATTTGAAGCCTTTTCAGAACGGCTTGATCATTCTGATCATGAATTGATTTTTGGACACCAAACAAACAGCAGTTTCCTGCCCGTCCTTTCATTGTAAATGATCACCACTATTTTTCTTTATTTTCTTCATAACAGACGACCAGCGTTTCTTCCAGGTCACTTTGCTCTGTAGTAAAGCTTCCGCTAAGGTGCGCTAGCGAATTCAGACAAGGACAATGGAAAGCAATGGGGCGCGTGATTCTTTTGATACAACCAAAGTTCGGGTTGACTGACCATCGTACGGAAAATTTGGCATGTAATGAAGTGGATTGTGTCGTGTGTTCTCCGTTTTTAATAGGATTATCCATATCACATTGTACTTACAGCATTCCAGTTTTTGTCGTGACTATCGAGGCTTGAATTGATCTGCCGTGAGTTTCAACCAACGAGTTTCCGAGGCTGTGAATGCCCGAGCCAACATTGGAAGCGAAACTTTCTACAATGCCAAGGATGGGAGGTTAATCAGCCACGTTGGATACACATGGGTTTACCGGTACCACAAGCAATTTGATTATCAAGGCTATGAGTTGACTTCGTGTTTCTAACCTTATTCAAAAGGTAGTACAGTTTGTGTACAGTTTGTACCGTTAATTGATATCGTTGACTTGATGTGCAGACATAGACTACGGAGTAAGGTACTGAGGAAATGTAATCTGAAAGTTTGCCTAGTGGACGTAGCATGGACGTACATGTAGCAATGAGGCCATGCCATCATTACATGATGATGATGGCAAACTGTATGAAGAGTTCCAAATTTGAAGATTTACTCCTGAGAAAAAGGATTCTGTATCAACAGCAATGAGGCATTTGTTGTAGTTTCATAAAATGGCGCAGAATCGCTGCTGGACAGGATGTCACTGCATTGCAGGTTACTGCCTATATAGGCATAGGCCTATGCCAGGATACATGGTATACATTTGAAATACGACTGGAGTGAAAGCCTAGTACTTTTCCAAATTTCACTGGTACGTGTGCATGTAGCATCAGATAAATGTTGGTGCACAACGTTTATATTTTGCAGGCAGTTTCATGTTTGGTTATCTTGAATGAAAACTTGCACTGCCAGTTAAACGCATGCATGCCAGCGTGTAGTGTAGCACTTTTGTAGACTGTAGACAGTCGTGTGGAATTTGGAATTTCTTTGTCTCAACTTCCTCGAAATTCAATGTTGAGTTTTAATTTTCAAGAGTTGGAGCATGTTTGTAAATGACTTCTGAATCAGAGATTCGACTGATGTGACGCAGATTACGATATGACCATGGATAAGGACTTTATTTGTGATCTTACGGTGCTCTCTAATTGCTGGTATCCTTTGGCATCATGTAGCCCGTTTAGCCAGTTCTATTATTAACGGACTTATTTATTCACCGTTGATGTCTTTTCCTCTTCCCCAGGTTGCCATGGATTCAACATTTTCAACCTATCTCTCTGGTTTTATTGGGTTTGGCGGTAGTTTCAACCTTCAAGTGTTGGCCAATGATTTAGGCTTACACGAAAAGCACAGGGAGGCACTGAGGAGCGGCTCGCTGCCCTGCAATCGACTGAGGATTCTCACCATTGGCGATAAAGGTGTTGGCAAGTCTAGTACCTTGAAGTACCTGTGTGGGGAGGTGTGTGACCCAAGCGCTGAGCGGCAGGCAACTGAAGGGATCGACATCACTGTATGCGAGACCTGTGACCAGGAGCCAGCCTGGAGACCCAGCACCACTGCTGTCTGCAAGTCGGCTGATGACCCTGGCCTTTGTGCGGCTTGGTGTGTCTGCAAGGGCATTGATATTATGGGGGGTGTCTTAAACACCGTCAAAAAGGACGCTTTATTTGAGGATGATCACAGTGTTCTCAGAAAATCTCCACCAAGTCGTGGCCACAACCAAGATACGTCCGCAACTATTGGGGACGTCAGAAGAGCATTTCAGGCACTCAGTAAAATTGTCCTGCATTTTTTTTATCAAGTGAAGCTTGGTGGCCCATCATTTGTGCTCTTTGCCCTGTTTTCGTACACAGGCATCCTGA